GAGCCCTTTCTAGGTCCCTCACTCTGTTCTAATTCCCTTCAAACTTCGTAGGCATAGTTTCTAGCATCCCTTTAAAGGTATCACACTAAGAAAACCCACTACAACTGATATTTAGAACAAATTACATATGGATGGAAAGATTTTCTCTTGAAAAGCACGAATAATTTGCTGAGAAATCATATAGATATCATGGAAAGGCGTAAAATGCAATTTTCCAAGACCCTTTTCAGACCCCTGAACCCCCTGAACGTAAGCCAAACACACGAGCTAGCGAGTTCTGAATAGTGACTTCACATACTGGGCAAACACAGCCAGCTAGATAGACTTGCACTCGTTCACCTATACAGAGTGAGTCAGAAAAAATGTCCCACTTTTTAAAAGTTGTATTGTTTGAAGTATGAATATTTAATCATGGGTTTCATGATATGTCTTGATAGAGTTGTCCTCCCAGTATATGTAGGTACCATTTTCATTCATGCACGACTGAACATAAGACAATCTTTACAAGACCGTGACTGCCAGATCTCACTTGCGCCAAGTTACGGGGTGAGTAATAAAACAGTGCATTGAACAAAGACAGTCAGACAGACAGACACACAGACATAGACACACACACATACACACGCACACACACAACACACACGGTAATAATTGTTTCATAATTTCCCCTTTTCTGTTTGCATTGAATTTTATCAAGATCGCCGAATGTTTAAAGTGGCATTTCCCTGACAATCTGTTTCCTTTAGTACACATTCACTACCACCATCATACCATCGTAATCATCATTGTCATCATCTTAATCTTCATCATCATCATCATCATCATCATGAATTGCACATAAATCAAATGTGCTATCTCAATATGTAGGTACATTAACAATCGTTGGCTATGTCTTTTGTTGGTTAACAATGACAATTTACAATTGATTTCTGTACTTTTGTTGCACTTGCCTACAAAAGGGTTTGCCTGATTTGGAAGCAGTCACTTGAGCCTCTTTTTAGTAGCAAAAATACACAAATTATGGTTCTTTGTTCAACACACTATTTTATTCCTCACCCAGTAAGTTGGCGTATGTGAGATCTGGCAGTCGTGTAAAGATTGTCTGATGTTCAGTCATGCATGCATTCAAACAATATAACTTTTAAAAAGTGGGACACTTTTTCTGACTCACTCTGTACAGTCAGACCGTAAGCAAAAACATGGCACAGTTCTCGTTCTTCCTATCTGTTCAGGATTAAGTTCATGACAATGAATTTGTCGTGAATATTGAGCCAGAATATTCAACATAGTGTACTATTCAATAAGTAGTGAGTGATGTTTTAAAATGTGAAAAACACGATCACCATAGACATCATGATCGCCTTCACAACTGACATCATCACCATTGCCACCATGACATCACCATAACCACCGTCATCATTATCATCATCCCCGTAGCCATCATGATCGCCATCACCACTGACATCATCTCCACTGACATCATCACCATTGCCATCATCTCCACCGTCGACATCACCACCATCATGCTCACCACAATCACAATCATCATCATAATCAACCTATCACAATATGTCATTGCTTGACTATTTATCTTACGTTCACCTTGTGTAGGTACTATTTTTGGATGAAATATAAATCTGAAAACATATCTTTTAGTAAGATTGTTTTTCTTTTTGGGGGAGTATTATTTAACAGGTCTGTGTAATTTACATTTCTTAATCAACATTCATGCTAACTTACTCAGAAGAAACCAGCTCTGGTTTCTTCTGAATAGCCTAGTAAACAGACAACGGTTAACCAAAAAAAATATTATTAACCCTACTACTAATAATAAATGAAATAGGACTAGGAATAAAATGTATATATTTTTAATATTAATATTTTATTTTTAAACTGACTTTGACATTCATGTTGAGACCATCAGACGCATCAAATGTGTCGCTGAGAATAAAAGTATCATGAGAGTAAAAAATTGTTAAATTGTATCAAGGTTCAGTCAGTTTTCTATTAGAGATAAAGACCAGTTATGGTCATGCGATTGCATTGTGAAAGAAACGTTGTGGAATCGATCAGAAAAGGTTGATCATCTAACATAAGTATTGGTGTGTACTGCAAGGTTCTGGAATCATCAAAATTGTTAAGAAATGTGGCCTAGTCTTGCACTGTACACAGAAAGATGGATTGGACTACGTGAAACGTGCGCGACACGTGCGCCTATATCTATCATGTCCAAATAGATTTAATAATTTACCAAAAAATATCAATTAGTAGGCGGTTTCTCGGCAAAATTTGTATCATCAAAACACATTCTTTGACATGATTGATAAAAAGAGCTTCCATTCCATTTTTTGAGAGGGGGGCGTTTCCAAAACTGGTCGTTACCTTTAATGAAATAAATGTTTTTTTCGTGTGAAGCTCCGGAATGCCACCTTGTAAGTATCAGAGATACAAAAATGTAATCACTTGAAATGGGTTTTTTTTTTGCTGAAAGAATAAGCTGAACAAAATCCTTCTCTTCCTTCTCCCAAACTCCCCGTTCAAGATTGTTTGTTCCTATGTGAAGCAGAACTGCTGTCAAGTCTTCAAATAATTGACAGTTAAAATGAACAAAGGCATGGAGTCCAGCAATTGTTGATCATGTCGGACATGGTGGCTCAGTGGTTAGAGCGCCCGCCTTGTGAACGGGAGGTCGTGGGTTCGAACCCCGGCCGAGTCATACCAAAGACTTATAACAATGGGACCTTCTGCATTCTAGCTAGGCGCTCAGCATATTAGATTGGAGAAGGGTAGTAGTAACATATTATGCTATGCAGGGCCCGCTGGAAGAGAAGTTTTATAACTGAAGTGGCTACCCTGGGTAAATAAAACGTTATTATTATATATTATATTATATATAATATATATTATATATTATATTATGATCCAGGAATGTAATGGAGACTGATGTGTGATGTCTGTGTCTTTCGAGAAAAAAAATTGTCAATGTTTCGCAAGTTTCGATGGTGCGTCAGTGCGTCTGTCAAAAAGAAAAACAAACAAATGACAAGAAGAAGGAATATAAAAGGGCTTAGTTGAAGGTACGGGGATATGAAAAGATCTGATCAAAGTAGCTAGCCATTTATGGTACACAAAACTGGCTTGCATTCAAAATTATTTTTAAAATGAAAGCAAATTACAGGTGTCAGATTTATAAAGTTTATCCTTCATGTTTCCACATGTGCACAAGTTGTAAAATGTAAGTGTTTCACTATGACTTTTAATGTTAATGCTGCTTTGTTCATGATCATAATACAACTCGCACAAGGAAAATGCTGCTTATTTCTATGACTGGTTGTTAAGTTTCAGTGACCAGAAGGCAGAACCAAAGTTTGAGAATCCCTAAATTAATATAATTAATTATCATGTAATTTGTAATTCTAATAATAATATCCAGATCAGCAGCCAGCCTCAGCTCAGCCCAGCTCAGCTCATTTTTTCCAGTTCTTTACAATTCCATCACACCCCTTGATACTTATCTAAACATGCTTAAACCCTTGGAAATATACTTATACAAGATAAAAAACATATCATTTGATCTAGATTTATAGTGAATAGCAATGACTAATTAGCAGTCGATTTATTTATATTGCTGTCGATTCGCGACAACAAAAACAAACAAACAAACAAGCAAACAAATATACCAGCTTCAAGAGAGAGATGAACATTTAAATATGTAGGTATGTCAATATATTTCTTTGAAACTCACCAAGTATCCGTATTTCTTTGGTCGAGACGAGTAACATCTCTGTTTACCCAAAAGCCAACACCGTCACCTGGAGCAGGTATCGCTAGCCCTTGCTCTCTCAGGCCCACCGGCTGCAGCGGCTCTGGCTCGTGCTGGTAGGATCGCGGCATTTGATCTATACCATCATCGCCTAGTTCTTCCTCTTCTCCTTCTTCTCCTTCAAGCTCTCCTACCTCCCCATCATCATCATCATCACTGTCAACGGAATCACTTTCCTCACTAATTTCAATGTCCATACGAAATAGTTCAATTTCCTCGTCTACACTCTACAGCCGACATTTTGATCTCAAGAGTATGCTTCGAATTTTACAAAAATTCGAGTCGCGTGTATTTACAATGTATTATCATATGCGCGCGAGTCTAGCAGTCTGCAGCTAGATGCTTTGTGACTAGCCGTGGACCGTATGTGACGTCACAATAGTGACGCTCTACGAAGGACCGCTGAAGACATGAAATCTGGATCTCAAAACTAACATTTTTGAGAGTTGATTACTGCGGGCCCCAAAAATAGAGGGAAGTTGTTGTATTGATCAGTAAGGCTTGTCCTTCACAATGACATGAATTTTGCATCAAATCAAAGCACTTTTGATTCTTGGGGTGACTCATTTAAGGTCACTGTATTCTTCGTTCTCTGGAATCTGCAATGCGTGACCGTCCAGGTTCCATTTTGTCCTTTTCGGGCCGTTTTGGTGGCCTTTCTTTCGCCCTATACCTATCTCCACTATCACAGAAGCTACATACTTCTTACAAAGAAGCTCGTGCATCATCGCACGCACATCGTTGTGACACGATTGCATGTCTAGTTTTTTTGTTTTTTTTCCCTCTATTTAGGCACTTTTTTTTGTATTACCTTCTAAAACAACAATATTTTACTGCTTTACACTGTATTACTGTTTTGGTGGCAGCACCAATAAAGCATTTGGCTTTCCTAGCTGTCTCCATATTCATATACATTTTTGTTGTACCCTATTGTAAATGTTTCTCTTTAAGTTGTACGCTATGTTTTGTATTTTATACGCTCGTTATGATGTTTTTATGATGAATGAAATAAAGATCAATTCAATACAATTCAAGTGAGAATTGCCTATATTTGCATGTAAAATGCCAGTTTTGTGTCTTAATTTTCTTGTTATCCGCCCCAAAAAAGGTCAAATATGAAATGTTATTCTCGTCACTTTTGTTCCATTTATTATCTCTGGAACTCAAATTTGCACAGATATCGACGAGTGTGCTCTTGAGCCTTGTATGCATGGAGGAACTTGTACTGACGGAGTAAACAGCTATACTTGTGCCTGCGTACTGGGCTATACTGGAAGTAGTTGCGAAACAGGTGAGACATACAGTCAAAGCAAATGACATACTTTCATACATACACTTTTTATGTAAAGTAATTGCATCTAGCTCATCAAGACATTGTAGATAAAATCGAACAAGGAAATAAAAAGTAAGAAAGCTTTAGGCATTGGTGAGGAAATTATTGGAGGTTTTTCTTAATTCAGAGTCTTCTAGAGTGAAAGAAGAAACAAAAGATATTAGGGTGTCCCACCTGCTGGTGCAGTAATAAGAGAAACTACACTCTTAATCATCTCAAGTAGACACATGGAAAAAGGGAGTGCATGATACTTTCAAGAACAGATTTGAAATTGTAATTTAGCTACTCTCTTTTTTCGAGTAGACATATGGATGGTAGGAGTGCATGATCATTAAAAAAAAAAACATTTTTATTGTGATTCCCACAAGGATCTCTATTAATAAGACAACATTCAGCGTACAATAAGAGTAGCATATTTCATCCTTATCATACAGATTCAACTGTTGGACCCTCGGTGTCTTCAAACTAAGACCATCCATAGGACGATTTTTCATCTCGAAATGAAGGATTTTTTTTTATCTCTTTTCCCCTTTTTTTTGTTCGGGGGCACATGGAGCTTCATTTAAAAATATTGTATCAGAAATATGTTTGCTATTTAAGGCTAGAATATTGGAAAGAATTCGAAAATCAAAAAAAATAATATTTAGTTAATTCATTTCATTTAATATATCTATTAATGGGTTTTTATGTATAAAATAACAAATTCCTCAACTGTCATTAATTTGAATTTCGAATATCAGTTTTGACATCATGTTTCTGTCATCCGCCAAATAAAGAAAAATATGTCAAAAAGGAAATTATTTTTCTTACCCCTTTTTATCCCATTCATTGTCTGTTAAACTTAATTTGCCCTGATATCGACGAATGTGATAGAGATCCTTGTATGAATGAAGGAAGTTGCGCTGATTTATTTAACTCCTTTACTTTCTCCTTTCTGTTATCCGCACCAAAATATTGTCTAAATGAACATTGTTTTTTCGTAACTTGTATACATGTCTTTGTCTTTGGATCTCATTTTACACAGATATTGATGAATGTGCTAGCAATCCATGTATGAATGGAGGAAGTTGCGCTGATGAAGTCAACTACTTCACTTGTGCTTGTGTTAATGGCTCTATTGGGACTTTGTGTGGAACAAGTAAGTTTTAAAATCGAATCAGATTAAATCCCGATCTAAATACACTTTTTTTTAGTAATGCTTTACCTCCTTGCTCATCTAAAAGTTATAGATAAAGGTTAAAGAAAGACAAAAAAACATCAAGTAATTGCAGAGAATTTTTTTTGAAAATGTTCTTGATTCAAAATCAACAGAACTGAACTGAATTGTTGTTATATATTTTTGAGCAGTAATGAGAGAAACTACTCTTCTTTTGATTATATTGAAGAAAAAAAACCTGATTATCATGATGTTTTTTAATATGCAGATACCGTTACGTTATTCAGTTGTCGATGTGTATGCATATGCCAGTTAATGTAAAAACCAGCAGAGCACTATGGGTCTTTAAAAGACGACATCTTGTGATTGTCGCCTGTTCTTTCTGTGCGCCAGAATGCCTCTTTTGGTGGGAAGTTCATTATCATTTCGACAGTATATACTGCCAAGAAATCAATATGATTAGACTACGGTCTCTTATACGATCCCAAGCTGGATATGCTTGCCGCATTTTGTATTATTTTCTCAGCTTTCCATTAATTCAATTTCTCACTGCTAACCTTGGATGCGATAGTTTAAGGTGAGCGATGAAAGTAAACTTGAGTTTCAGCGTAGGGGTGCCAAGTCCAGACTCAAGAGAGTATGCAATGTGGCAGAGCTATTGTTTTCTGAGGTAGGGCGGAGGCACAGAATTTATTCGAGAGGTATCAGCAGGCATACCAAGAAGTGCAATATGATCATGACAAGTTTACCAGGACCATCCAAAACGAGGCAGAGTATGATAGAGAAGACGTCTGGATGGAAGGTGTTCATAATGATTTACTGAAGTTACAGTTCATGGTCATTGACTGTGTCAAGCTTGTCAGGTCCTACATGAGAATTTTTATTTATATTTATTTTTATTGAAATATATACCATCTGATGGATGTGATGGTTATTTTACTGACTGCTAAGAAAGCATTAATGCTTGTAAGAAAGCAACCAGACGGCCGACGGCTTAAGGTCTTCTCCGAGCGACCTGGTAGTGAAGATTAATGCCTTACCAAAGGGCAATAGCGCATCGCCTTGGTTTCAAACCCGGGTCACCGGATTACGCGACCACTGCTCTACCGATTGAGCTATCGCGCCTCCTCAGACCACAGGGGATTTTCGAGGTCGGATAATCTGATTATGATGTTCTCCCATCGATTCTTTTTTACCGTCCTATTCTAAAGCTTAGGGCAAGTGGCAGAAAGAGCGGTTAATGTATAGCCTTTATCAAAAGTCTGGTTCCTTTATTTCTGAACCCAGCTAAGCTCGGGTAGGTGAAATTCGGTATGGCCGTCATCTTGATTAGAAGTTATTGTATTTTTAAAAAACAGATACGAATACCATGATGCTATCATGGTATACGAATACTATGATGCGCAAAAAAAATATATTTTTAGCTGCATACAACTCACTTTCATCATCCACTGCACATAATGAATAAGCACACATCTTTCAAGTCAAGTTTCGAAAAGATGTCCTCTCTTTCGTCAATGTGGTAAAACAGCTAGGCAATCTTTTCCTTTCAAGAGGTCTGCATAGTACTTAGCGCACATGATGTAATGGAAGAGGAGGTTGCTGCCTCTCTGTCCCAAATCCATGACATTGACACATCTCACCCAACTGCACACGTCAATAAACGGTTATTAAGGGCATCGATCTCAATTTAGCTATGGTCATAACCAAAAAAAGGAGCCTGGTCGGCGGCCGGGTAGCGAGTTTTTAGCCAATTTCGCCCGGGTACCGAGCGGCGGCCGTCCGGGCACCGCTTGTTTTGGCGCGGAGTTAAAATCCGGCGGCCCCTGCTCACTTTTCAATCGCCACCCAAAATACGCTCGGTGCCCGGGCTTTCGCCGCCCGGGCACCGTTCTGAATCGAAGCCGCTATGTCAAAGGCTGCCGAGTGGTCACCGCCCGGTCGCCGCTGTGAGATCAGTCGGTCACTGGAGTTAAACATCGGTCGGCAGCCTTTGACCTAGGGGCTTGGATTTTTGACCTAAATCGCTCGAAAGCGATCTCTTGTTTAGGTCGATGCCGGGCACATTTCTTTAAAATCAGCCGGTGGCCGGTGGGAGACCGCTAGGGAATCGGTGAGTCATCAGTCGGTCAATCCTGGACGCCGCCCGGAGAAGCTCCCAAATTTCGCCCAGTTTTGACCTAAAATCGACCGGAGACCGACGGGAAATTGACAGGGCACAACCACCCAGGCATCGCCATGGATCTACAGCCTGCTCGACTTCTCCAAAAATCGTTTGACGATGCCTTTATAGCTATAGTCACAAACCCCAAAAGTAGCCTGCTCGGCGGTCGGGCGGCTAGTTTTTAGCCAATTTCGCTCGGGCACCGAGGGGCGGTCGCTCGGGCACCGCTAGTTTTTAGGGTATCGCTCGGTCGCCGCTGAACTTTTAGCGCGGAGTTAACATTTGGCGGCGCCTGCTCTCTTTTCACTGGCCGCCAGAAATACGCTCGGTGCCTGGGTGGTGGCCGCCCAGGCATCGACTTAGTCGAGTGTTCGCCGTCAAGCGATTTAGATAAAATATCGACGCCGCTTGCTCAAAAGGAGGCTGCCGAGCGGTCGCCACCCAATTGCGGCCCAGTCGTCGCTGGGAGATCATTAAGTCACTGGGCGGCGAGTTCAAAATCGATAAGCAGCTTTTGATCTCGCAACGAACGGCCAGGCATCGAGCGTATGTTTATGCCCCGCCGCGCACCAACCGGCCGCCGAGCATTTTTATTTTTAATCAGCCAGTGGCCGGTGGGAGGCCGCTAGGGAATCGGTGGGTCCCCGATTTCGCTCAGTTTTTGCCTAAATTAGACGGGAAATCAAAAGGGCACAGCCCAGGCATACCTGGGGCTCTACTTCTCTAAAAATCGTTGGGCGATGCCTAAATTCCAGCAGCGAATGAGCAGGCTACCAATCGGTCGGTCGCCGCTCTGAGTTGTGATTATAGCTTTTTTTTTTTTTTTTTTTTTTTTTTACTAATACCAATGGCGGATCCAGGGGGCGTGGACCAAGGCGCCCCCCCCCCCTGGGAAGAAAAAGGTGTAAAAACACGTTAATTTTACCATTTTTTTATCCCCCCCCCCCCCCCCCCCCCTCTGGCGCTCAACTTTCGGGAGCAAAAAGAAAAGTGCCCACTACCCCCATCCCCCCTCCCCCCAACCCCACAGAGCGAAATATTGGCCGGCACGATTTTCAAAATTTCAAATCGATTTTAAATGTAGCCCCCCCCCCCCTAAGAAATCCTGAATCCCCGTCTGACTAATACTGTCCCACGGAAGAACGTTTGCTAACCGGTCTGACAAGAAAAAGGGCGGAAAAGAAATTGGCACACATATGCAAAACATTGTGACACAACTGCTCCTGTCACTACATTGACCCTATTGAAGATGACGTTCTACCCACTTCTATCCTAGGCATAGCAATTAGCTGTGCAAATGTCGAACCATCGGACTTTTGGCCTACCACGTTTTCATTGACCCTCAACATGACCTTGGGTAATAACCTTCTCTCCTAGAAATGTGTCCAAAATGCTGCAGCTTGTTCTTTTGTATTTTCTGGCAGCGGATGAATTTCGCTCCAAATTGGTTCTTGACAAAATCATTTGATTTATGAGCTTTCGCTATATAATATCCTCAATATCCTCCCCGTACACCAAATTTCGAAAGCGAGGATTATCTTTCCATCTGCTGCTCCAAGAACCCAGGTCTCTGACCCATACGATAGGGACTTTTAGATTTGCACGTCGACAGCTTTGACTGCAACGTGTGACGTCATTTTCCTAAATCTAGTACATACATACATATTGGTAGTCATGTAGCGCCTTTACATGCTCAAGGTACTCAGTTAGAGAAGATGTCCATCACTTCAATTACTCTTGCTGGACATGAAATTACCCTATCTAATATATGTCGCAACCCTGGTGTGTTTCTCGACTCAAACATGACAATGTATACACAAATTCAATATGTCTCAAAATCAGTACGTTATCAGTTACGCAATTTGGGTTTTATTCGTAAATATCTTAACCGTAGTGCCACTGAGAAAATTACTCATGCTTTAATTCCTTCTCGCTTGGATTTTGGTAATGGCCTTTTGTTTAGTTCGCCTCACAACCTACTTGCAAAATTACAAATATTACAGAATGCTGCTGCTCGTGTCGTGACCCTGTCCAACAAGTACAGTCACATCACACCAGTCCTCAAATCACTCCATTGGTTGCCCGTAGACAAACGTGTTATTTTCAAGATTATTTTGCTATTATTTCACTGTATACATGGCTCTGCTCCGCAGTATAACATCGGCTTGATTAGGCATTACTTTCCTTAAAGACAGCTACGTTCTCAAAACTCTGGCTTACTTGTTACTCCTAGGGTGAAAACAAAGTGGGGAGCGAACCTTCGCTCATGCTGGGCCTTCATTATGGAATACTCTCCCTCAATGGATTAAGAATAGCAGTTCTGCTGAAGTGTTAAAAAACAATCTTAAGAAATATCTGTTTAATTTAGCTTATAATTGATTACCGTAACCTTTCATGTCTGTACCTTTCCTATCGCACTTTGTAAAATGTATCATGTATGTATTTCATCTCTTGCACAAGCTGCGCGCTTTGAGCATTTGACTGTCAAGTGGATTTGGCGCCTTATAAATCATATGTATTATAATTATTATTATGCCGCGTGCGCATAAAATATACAGTTCCTCAGTTAGACAAAGGAACATCCCTTCCCTGCTGTTATGTAAAAATGTGTAGAACAGGTGTCACATGCATATTCACCTGTTCTACACATTTTTACATAATATCAGTGAAGGGATGTTCTTTTGTTGAGGGTAGAATGAGGAACTGTATATTGTGTCCTCTTTCTTTATCCGTGATGTTCATAGTGTTACTTCCTGCATGCATTTATATCGTCGTGTGCAATCTAAAAAAATTCTAATTGTAGTCAACATGGGCAGTTAAGTACGTTGACACGCATGATCAGTCGGCGTTCGTCGTGTTCTCGTCCACTCAATCTAAAAGTCCCTAATGTAACGATTGGAAAGACCAAAGCATTAATCAGACAATGTATATTTATATATATATATATATACGAAGAGATTAATTCAAAAAAGAGCTAAATTCACTTTTGATGAAAATTGAGTTATTAATATCAGAACATTGTTTACTTCAGAGCCCGTCTTTCAAAAAAAGTGTATACCTAAATTTTGCGAACAATAATGACAAAATGCACCTTCTAATATCACTTTTCCATAGATGCCTGTACTAAATATGGTAAACAAATTCCACAAATTTCTCTGAAGTTACAACAGTGGATTTAGCTCCTTTTGGAAATAAAAAGTAACGTAAACCGCCGCAAAGAAAGGCGGCTAAATTTATTGTTTAGTGTAAAGGAATGGCAACTGCGGGCAACGCAATGTGATGCGTATTACACTTTACATCATCATGTAAATACAAATGATACAGTTTTGCCGCGTCGTATCTGAACCTTTTGATTAAGGGGGCTATTTTAGACATTACCAATAGTCTTGCAATTAATTTCTTAAAGGCCCGGTCACACATAGGGGACGCACGGCCAGCGCATTGGAAATTTGCAATTTTGGCAGTGCGTTGTCGTTTGCTAGGTGTGCGTCATCATTCGTTATTAGTTCGTCGAGCGCGCTGGACCAACGCTATGCATTCGTCGGCATTCGCTGTGTGCGTCAGAATTGTTTAAGCATGCTCAAAAGTGTGGGCGGAGCTCGACGCATGAATGAAGACGCCAAAAGCACGCCAAACATGCGCGGAGCGTGCTAGACCAACGCCAGACATATGTGGAGCACACGTCCTGTATACGCGCAGCGCGCTAGCAACACGCTATGCATTCGGTGTCAACTGGCTACCTTCTCCCAAATCCTGACAAAAGTCTGGCGTCTATGTGTGACCGGGCCATTAAACAAAGGCAGCGAAATTGTCATTTGTTTTGTTTACATAGTGTTCATTATACTCCATTAACGACTTTCCTTCAACGTTTAATTTGAGGCACTAAAATATAAAGCTTACTCTTTCTTTAACTTTTGGGCACCAACCCCCAGTCAATAAATGTATCAGAGTATTCTTGTTACGTGACATGAATATGACTTCTAAATCACCCATGTACATGACCAGATATTCTCCACATTTATTTTCTGTTTAGCTGAGTGTGGCGATGGAACTGTTTGTCATAATGGCGGATCATGCACAAACCCCGGACCGTGTGATTGTGTAACCGGTTTTAACGGTACTATGTGCGAGACTGGTAAGTACCCCCCCCCCCCCCCCCCCCCCCCAAGAAAGAAGGAAGTAAAAAATATATAACATTAGTGAGTGTGGCGATGGAACTGTTTGTCATAAGGGCGGATCATGCACAAACCCCGGACCGTGTGATTGTGTTTCCGGTTTTAAAGGTACTATGTGCGAGACTGGTAAGTACCCCCCCCCCCCCCGAAAGAAGGAAGTAAAAATATATAACATTAGTGAACAAATGTTGATTTCTCGTAAGTTAAGGAGTTTACAGTAAATATATATATATATATATATATATATATATATATATTTATATATATTGTTGTGTTATTGTTAATTACTGAATTAGAGATGTAGGTATTAACATTGCTTCAATCATTTGAATTTAAATCTTTAAAGAATAGATTATAATGATAAACCAGTTAAGTAGGCTATTAGTTGAGTTCTGATTGGGTTTCATTTCTTAAAGAGTAATATGGTTTTCACTTTCTGGTTGATTGAAAACAAATAGTGATTTGCATAACTTGGAAAATCATGGAACTTTTGTTTTGGGGGGAGTAACATTTTGGCGTTTGCATTGTTAATGTATGTCTTCATTTTATCTTTCTGCTACACAAATTTGTTGTATCAATTACTTTGTGTATGGGCTTAGATCATATTTTTGTTTAATTGGCCATTAAGCTAGAAATTTTAATTGATAAATGATTACTATTTTTAAACCGATACAGATATTGATTACTGTTCTACTACTCCCTGTATGAATGGTGGAATTTGTATTGATGAAGTGAACAACTTTACTTGTAACTGTGCTGCTGGATATAAAGGAGATACATGTCAAACAGGTTTGTCACCAAGTTGAATTTGTCTTCAGTATTTTTATTCCAGAACATTATTTTGGATGAAGATTGTGGACCTTTTTCATGATACATACTACATTTTCAAGTTGGTGTTTTAAACCAATATATATACAGTGCGTTCCAGAAAAAAACGAAACCGAAACCGATGTTTTATCATAACTTAGTCACATTTATAATTACTAAATGACACATATTTGGAAAGCTTATATCATCCTCTTTCATTTGATGCAACTCATATGATGCATATTTCAAGGAGAAACACACTACGATTTTTGAGACAATGCTCCTTGCTCATCAAGAAATTATAGATAAAGAGCTAACTAGGAAATCAAAGGTGCTAAACATGTAGTCATTGGAAGGGAAGATCTTTGAAGTTGTTTTCCTAATTCAGAGTCAACAGAAATGAAAGAACAAACAAACGGTTCAAGGGTGCTCCAGGCTTTAGTTCAGTATTGATAAAAACTACACACCTTTTGATTTCGAGTAGACCCTTGCAACATGGCAGTACATATTAAAGTAGATATGGAGCTGTTTTCCTTCTACTGTCTATACCCTTTCAATAAAATAACGATGAAATAATTTGATAAGTTATCAGAACTAATGTGAACTATTGATATATATCTTTGAAATGAACAGTTCTGTGCGATCTATCGAATTGCCAAAATGGTGGGACATGTACCCCTTTTGGACAGCCTTGTAATTGCCCACCTGGTTTTACGGGAGACCTTTGCGAGAATGGTAAGTTGTGTCATGTGTTTATCAATGGTTAATCCTCAAAGAATGTTGGTTCAGACAAAAGTTCGATGATTATAATGATAATAACAAACTTTTAATCCAATATATTTTGTCATGTTTTTTTTTTTTTTTTTTTTGGGGGGGGGGGGGGGTATGCTCCCTTTTACTACTTCTCCCTGGACATATGCAATTATGACAAAACAAGACCAGAAAAATATACATGTACGCGAAATCATTTATGACTGTGCAAAGAAAAGAGAGTTACCTTACATCTTTCTCTTGTTTAACTGTAATTGTAATCATATATATATTTTTTTTCTTCAGCTCCTCAAGGATTGTCAAATGGAGCCATCATTGTTCTTGCTTTGGGAATATTCGGTTTTGTTCTCGTCTTTTTAAGCTTGGTTTGCTTCGTTTTCGTTCAAGGTTTTAGACGAAATCAAGCAATGAAACCAATGCTCGCGTGAGTATTACGATAAACTTACAATTGAGCAAGTCCAACCTATTATTTCCCATAATGTACTGACCACATCTATGATTGCACTCCTTAATAAGGACAATCACTCCCCGCAAATTAACCCCAAGGAAAGCCACCCGCGAGGACAATTACCAACGGAAAATTACCCCCCCCCCCCCTCCACCCCCGCGGACAATAACTCTCAAAGGACAAATATTTCCCCACTCCTGAAACTTACCCTCTCGGACAAGTACACCTCCCCCTGTTCATTAAAGGAAAAGTTCACCCTGAAGATAAGTTGGTTATATAACGATAATCAGCCGGGGGGTACTGCCCAGGGGAATATTTTCCAAGAATCAATTTCAGTATATACGACAACTGTACCAAGATGATAGCTCTACTAGTAGGTATAGCACACCAAAAATAAGTACAACAAACACATGTTATTTGATGATTGCAAATGATCAAGCTTCCTGAAAGCTTAAAAAAACAAAAAACAGAATTGAAATCGGTCAATGCGTTGTGATTTTATACCATTTTTTTGATATCGCATAATTACCGAAAAACCTGCCAGAAATGGTCAAATGGGCAAAAATGGCAAAATTCGACAAAGTTGACACCTTAATTCATCACCTTCCTGGACACAAATAATAAATTAAATTATCAGACACTAAAATATCATCTTTGTGGTAAAAAATACAAAAAAGAAAATTCATATATCTATTACCGTTTTAAAAACAGAAGCAAACAAAATAAGTCATTTTGCCATTTTTGCGAATCTGCAGATATGAAAAAGTTGTGAAAATAACTAAGTCCGTCTAATTAATATGCGCATATGAAATCAAATCAAAACCGAACATGATACATCAATGAAACCTATGTATATCAGACAGGTATGGAAATATATTTTTTTTGAAGAAAACAAAATTATGAATATTCATCAAATATGCAAATTAGGTCATTTCAGCTAATTGTATAATAGGAAATTCAAACTATTCATTTTGTTGGCATTTTTTAAAATCATATATTTATAGATCATACTTACACCAAATATTAACATTAAATTCCAAATATTTTTGCAATGCCAATAAAATATGGTGATGGAAATTACTTGGATCACCGTTACAGCTATTTCCTCATATATTTCACAAATTATTCAAAAAAACCGAACAAATGACGGATAAGAATTTGCAGACTTTCAGCTACATCACAGTATAGTTTTTTTTTTTAAATGTCAGATTTGAGGATTTATGACGATTTTCCGAGAAACTATTTAATTCAACAGGCCATAACATTCTACAGAGACTGAATTTCAGGGAAAAGGAAAATTTGGTGACCCCAGTACAGTTGTGGCTACCTTGAGTGTAAATAACAAATTGATTCAATGAGTGAAACATATGAGGATATTGCATTTTTGTAGAGAAGTTTTGTACATTGAGGTGCATTTTCACCACGCAGAATAACAGTCAATGGGCGATCAGCGGGTCATGTCACACATGGCTGAAAAGACAATATTCTGATTAATAATTTAACATATTTCCCACATGCCTTTAACAATGAAACTACACAGAATTGTAATTAAAGGTATGATTGAAAGATATGTGAAATAAAATATTGTTCAGTTTTGTTTTAAATAAATCTACGAAAATTGCTATTTCTACCAACTGACTGCTGTTGTGTGTGTGTGTGTGTGTGTGTGTGTATGTGCATGGGGCAGACTGTGTGCACAGGCAGTATGATCACCCTACTACTAGACCTTGGATCAGACTAAACATAACATTAAATGGTACTTTTATGTTGACAATTCCATGGTGACAATGCCATAATACAATTCAGTAATACTTGGTAAATGGTGGGGCATACATGTATTTTGGACCTGCCTAACGAGTGCCAAGAGGTATCTTGCCGAGTGGTATTTTATCACGGTGTATGCATGATTGTTAGACATTCTGCATAGAATTCGAGGACGTTCCCAGATAAGTCATTGTTCGTTTACATCCCCAGAATAATATTCGAGGAAAAAAAAGCTGTCTTTATGAAAGAACAAGAACATTGCAAGAAAAAGGTTCATATTTTCATGATGTTTGCAAACATGATAATGTTTAAGTGTATGTTCATGTGTTAACAAAAAAGTGGAATTGTTTGTATAAAGTGGACTCGATAATAAAAATGAAAGGATGGCACCTTCATTTAGGCAAAAACGATCAACTTCAAGTACATTTTGTTTTACTCCACTAAGAATCATGCATTGCACCTTGGAATACGAAAAGACACAACTTTCTTACCCTCTATCTCTTTATTTATCTATTTATCTAGTATCTACCTACTTATATTTTTCTCTCCATATCTACCTACCTACATGCTATCTATCATTCTATTTATATACCTATACTGATAATAATGATATTGTTTATCCTGGGAAGCTGTTCTTCCTGAGGGCCTGCAATTATTATAAACCCGTCTTTATAGCTCCATATCTACCAATCTATATATCTATCTTCCAATCTGTGCAAACCGATTTTTTTCTTCTATCCCTCTCTCTCTCTACCTCTACATAATTATCTGTGTACCTATATAGCTACTTACCTTTGTATCTACATAAATATATACATCGTATCAGGGCAATTACCCCTTGGAAAACCCCCCTCCCCGGAAAACTTACCCCAGTGACAATAGTCCCCCGGAATATTACCACCGAGGACAACCCCCCCTCCCCCCCCCCCCCTCGGAATACCGTCTTGTTCATTAAAGGGGAAATCCACCCTTATAATAAGTTCTTAATGCAAGGACATTTTTTTGATCGGGGGTAAATTGTCCTCGGGGGAGGGGGTGATTGTCTAAAGAGGGTTATTTTCGAGGGGGTAATTGTCCTCAGGTGGTAATTGTCCACGGGGGTTCCTAGGGGGTAATTTTGCAGGGCTGGTTGTCCTCGGGGCGATTGTCCTGGGGGGTGTAATTGACCGGGGGTGATTGACCAGGAGGTAATTGTCCTAGAACCAAATGCATCCTTATACATATGTCTATCTACGTATCTATCAATCCAGCTGCCTATCTATCTATCAAACTGTCTACCTCTATATATGTAACTATAGATCTGTGTCTCTTTCTCTTTGCCTTTATCTACCTACTCATATGTATATTCATATATATCTAACAATCCATATACCTATCTATCAAACTGTTTACCTGTATTTAACTACAGATCTCTGTCCCTCTCTCTCTCTCTATCTATAAACATATACTGTATATATTTATATATCTACCTTCTAAAACTTTATAAGCATGAATCTGTCTCTATGTATTTATCTACATATATTTCTTTATACATATATATATATATATATAATTATATGTAATGTATGTATATATATATATATATAGAGAGAGAGAGATAGACATAGATAGAGAGAGGGAGAGAGAGAAAGAGCTTTTAATTGTTGTATACATGGATACCTCTTTCATGTGAACTAGTTTTGGTTTTGGTTTTTATTTCGACTTGATATTTCGGTGATATGATATCCTTTGTATCGGCTGATTTGTAATCATTAGGTTTAGTCTGGGATGAAGTGGCCTTCATTGACCCATCACAGTTCGTACTCATGGTCGCCTAGTTGTTTCAGCATTTTTTGTACATTTTGTGAAGATATTATTCATAGTTCTCAAATGTAACACAATATATAAAAAAATTATTTTTTCTTCTTCAGTGAGGCGCAGTATGACTATTCAATTTGCCGAAACAGAGGTGTCTACGTAAACGAATCTTTGAAGGGTTCTAGGGACTACGAGTCCATTCAAGAACGCCGGTATGCTGTTGGCCAAGCATTGGATCGACTGAGAGAAACTAATGCTCTGGTATAAACAGTTTCCTTTTCGATGAGTCTAACTTGTTATATACCACATAAATAATCTCCCTGTTTGATATGTCATTTATCATGTAATAGATAAACCAAAGGCTTTCAATAATATACCCAAATATGAACAATATGCAGGATTCAAACACCAGCACTTCGCTATCTTTCTCTTATAGTACAAAGTGTTGTGTACACAAGTTTTTGTAAATTCATTAACATTTTTAACGTCACCATCTTCTTTATATTCAATAATTCTGTTATTCATAAACCCATATAATGCCATAGAATGCCCTTTTCGGTTTTTCAAGGTTGTTTTTATACGTTCTAGCAGTACATAATGTTTTCGTTAAGTTGATTGGTTCACGTTAATATAATGTTATATGTATTTTCTTTCAAACTTTGATTTTTCTTTTCATCAATTTCTTTTCATTACAGAACAACAGTGTGGATCAATTTCTAGTCCATTATTGATCACCAAGAAATAACCTACGGATTAAGAAGGAATATGACAACGGAATTCGGATGAAAAGAATATAGTGAATTAGTTGAATACTTATAATAGAACGATTGGTTCTCTGTTAAATAGGCTAACGGTTGACTGATTGAATTGATGTAATCATGCTAAAACTCACATCAGCTAGTCTCTGTTAGAAACATATAACTAATGAAATAAAAATCAATTTAAATATAAATACATAAAAAAAAATTAATATAATTTACTGTATCTGTGAGTGTATAATGGCTGCAATATTAATCTAAAAAGCGTTCTATATCATCATTCATATATTATTCATCAAGTAACTGATATTCATTTTCTCCAAATATATGGAAACACATGATCCATAAACTATAATCTAAAGATCTGATTTCTACATCATGCTTTTAGTGTAGCCAAATTTCAAGTGTTTGGAATAGTACAAATCTATTTTTATATAGTTAAAGTTCAAATGCTTATGTTAATGGGAAGTATAACACCCCTTTCTTTCTCTCTTTCTTTCTCTTTCTCTTTCTCTATCTTTATGTATATATATATATATATATATATATATATATATATACATATATATTAGATGAGTACATTTTTTAATGGATCTTTTTTTTGTGGAATATATGAGCACTGCATATAAAAAAAAGTTATCAAATACACAACATGATGTGGTCATATGGGGTAAATCCACCGCGCTAAAACAATACAACCAGTATCTTTGAATCTTGCATTTATGAAAATAAAAATAAGAATGTTTACCTTTGGCACTTTTACCTCAAACATTTTTGCCAGGCACCAAAATAACCCACTTCCCCCACCCTTCCCTCTCCCTTTCCTCCACCACCATCACCACCACCACCAGGAAAAAAGCAATTAAAGGATTTTATAACAAGGATTTTTTTCTTCTGCTTATCAATAAACGGATATGATTAGTATATGAGAATTAAAGGAAGTGTAAACACCACTTGTTTTGTAACATTCCGCTAAAATAGTGACGCCAAAATGACTTGGGTTGGGAACAAACGAAAAAAGTGTACGTCTGATGTATTAAAACAAAGCAGGCATCACATTTGTGTCATTGCCATTTGAAAATATGAACAAAACTATTTTCCTGTAATTTTATATGTAATATATATTTTGTATATATATAGTTTATTCTATATATCTTCATTTTCCTCCAAAGCAATTAATTATACAGTACTAGTGTTATACCTCATAAGTCTTTCATCATTTTAACAAGGCTTCATGTTTTTATATATAATCTTGTTGATATGATATATTTTTTTACATAGGATCACGAAACACTGAAATAAATATTCCAATAGGGAAGACCACTGCATACTTTATTGAGTCAATGTGTAATTCATGAAGTATATTTCATTATCATCAACATCATCATCATCGTCATCATTTGTTATTGTTTATCGTTTACTTAGTATCATTAGTATCACATTATTGTTATCAAAATTATTCTTATTTTTTGGTTCAAGATCATTGTTAAAGGTACTATGTCTCATTTGCAGGCCCGAAAAAATGAAAAAGTTACTTTCCAACTACATTTGGAGAAAAAAAACTTCGAAAAGATTTCGAACTTCCCTCAAAACGACAGGGCTTGAAAATGGCTGTTAGTGGGAAAATAACGACCATTAGTTGTCGAATCAACTTAAGTGATTGCAGTCACCTAAGTAATAGTCTGATTTTAAGACCCTTTTACCGAATGGTCGTACGTTTTGTACTGCACACAGATTCAATCAGTTTAATTTTGGCCATTACAAGAAGTGGGTTATTGATGTAGACAAATGATCATGTACCTGTTACAGCTCATGTTGTGTATGTTATTAACAAAGAAAAAAAGATGTCAGTCAGTCATTCAATAGTGACTGATGGCGAAGTCTAGACGGTAAACGGGTTTCTTGCATAATTTGAATACCAGGAAACTGCTGATGCTTAAATTTCACAGATAGGACATGGCATATTCAAAATTCCTGCAAAGTTCTACAGAATTCGATGTTGGCTGCAAAAGGAAATGTATCTTTAAGAGAGTAATCGTTGTGTATGTGTGTGTGTATGTATGATTCGTGCGTGCGTGGGTGGATAGGTGGGTGGCGAGGACAATCTTAGAACTGTACCTTCACTTTGATAACCACGCGCGAAACGAGGATGTCATCGATTCCAGAACCAGACAATTGTTTTAAAATCGGAGTCCCTTTTATAGGGGTTTATTTAGGTTCTCTATTTGCATGGAAAAGGTCGATCCTCGGTTATGCAGTACATTTACAGAACTTTCTAGGGATGTTATATTCTTAGGAACAAGTGATTTTCGAACATATAGGCCCGAATTCACAAAGGAAGTTTGTCGACAAACCTTGGTTTTGTGTGTGTCATGACGCGTTTCGACGCGTTTTTACAAACCAGGTTTGTAAAAAAATGCGTAAAAACGTGTCATATGACAAACCTCCTTTGTGAGTTCAGGCCATAGTGTAATGGGATACCGACGTGTACCATCGAGTCATCGATTTACACCAGAAACGCGCATGAGCGTAAACATGCGAAGACATGGGCGCTCTAGCCATTATCAACTTAACACCGAGCGACCCCGCCTTTGGGCTTTCGTCTTACCGTTTGCACATCATCGAATTGTTGTTTATCTATGCTGCACATTTATATGGCAACGATGCTGACTAGTCTTGACGAAATGCACCGTATATTTGTATGAGGTCGAGGAAAATGAACATGGGCACATGCACAGGTATATGAAAAAAGGCCCCGGGCCCCGGGTTTATAGGGTTAAATTTGGGTTCTAATGCAGAGGGCGCTACACAAAATAATTTGTTGTGAGATAATGCAAAACTCAGTGTCAAATTTGAAAGAGCATACAATTTAAATGACAAAGTCATCTTTGGATGATCAAAATCGGTTTAGAGACGTCTGAAATATCCATAAAAATAACGATTTCTAATACTTGTGTACCACCAAAAATATTAGATCATTTGAAAAAGCCGTTGAAAAAACGAAGTAGCGCCTTTCCAGTTTCAGTTTTATTTTTCATTTCCAATAGATCAGTAATTATGACAAGAAATCAGATATACAATTTGCCATTCAATAATATAATACATTTTACATGGTTTAAAGTTGTGAAATAGAAATTATACATAATTATCCAGTATAATAGTTTTTAATTTATTTTTTAAAGATAAACCTGTGGAAATGGAGGAATTCACTGAAAACAGGGGAGTGTTTCCCTAACACTAACAATAACCTCCATGACAGAATAATAGCGTTTTATTTCTTCTCTTTTCTTCTGCAAGATTCTAAAATTCTGTTTAAAATAGAAAATCTTGGAAGTATCATTAAAACGTTTACTTCCTTTAAAATATTTTATGTTAACATTTTATCAAACCCAAAACCTCAAACTCGATGGCAAAATGTTAGTACCTTGACTAGAGCATTTTTAATAGCTTATAGGAATTAATTTGTAAATCTTATTTTACAAGTAGTGTTGGTTGTAAAAAGTGACCAGTCCATGATACCAAGATCTGTATCTCATTGTGGTTCCTCTTGCTTAAAGCTGCAAAAGGGAGCTTCTATCTGTAGGCTGGCTGATGTTTCATAAGAAGCATAACGTTGCAGGTAATTCAGGCTCTGCAGTCTAGAATAGGAATTGAAAGTTATGAAATAAATGAATCAATTACTACATACTAGTACAATTTTTCAATCTATCTTCAATATTTGTATTTATGATTATTTCAAATACTTTAATTGCTAAATAAAAAAAAGTAGGAGAATAAAAAATAGTTACAGGAGATAAATGATTAATTGTTTGCTTTGGATTTAAAAAAAAAAATCCTTTCATTACCATTTGTATATTTTTTATTTAACAGAATGGGTAAGATGGGTATTAGACTTCTTACAAGGATTATGAAAAATTATAGATCAATTTTGGTAATTGATACTGCTTACCTTTTCAATTTGAAGAGATGGACAATAAATGTTCATTTGTCATGAACTAGCAGTACATGCAGATGCCATAGCTCTTTATTTTGCAACCTAGGATTTAAAACAGAGATACATATATTTGTTATGAAGAGAGCACATCTATTTTTCAGAAAAGTAATTCTCACTGTTGTATCAAATGTGTTCAAAAGAACATATTAAGTACATTTTTATCAGTAATTACAACAGTAATTTACATGTATTCGGTCCAAGACATTGTTACCAACCAAATTGTAAGGTTTTTAGACATTTGGAAGATTGACTATGGAGTCTAATCTTGATCTCGGATACCCTGCTCTTAAACCAAACACTGTTGTACACAAATTCAATGAACATTCCCCTGTCGTGAGCAGAAGGCAAAGAGGTACAAAACAAACAGAGCAGCTTTCATCATACATATATTCTCATTACAGTTTGTTCAATCACCTCTTTATACATTAATTGCTGCCCTATTATTTGTACAATATTAATCAGGCTGGCTGATGAAGTAATTTATCTATGATTTAGATATGTCATAGTTGACTTTCCCCTCACATGGATTTATCATGTTTTCGATTGTACGTAGAAATTTTAATGAAAATCAAGATTTACACACTCAACAACAAATAAGTAATCTATTTATACATAGGTCTAGAAGAACCACACACACACAAAAAAATTAATTCTAGTATAGTCTAGAGCTTGGAGTTGGACTGTGTTAGGGACCCTAATACCAGGGACGGATCAAGGGGGCACAGGGGGCACGTGCCCCCCCCCCCCCCCCGCCTGCCCCCCCCCCAAAAAAAAAGTTAAAATCAGCAAAATTTGCCAAAAATGTACTGACCAACAGGAACGTGCCCGCCGGCCAAATACAAAAAAAATAGTGTTACCTCCTAGACCTAGACTAGTCTCTATATCAACAAAAACAAGACAATGCTAAAATAAATAAGGGATAGGGCCTAGATCTAGGCCTAGATCTTGATTCTAAGCCCAAATCTACAACTAGTAGCATAACTAGTAAAACCACAATACTACTGCGATAATAAACTAGACTAATAGGTTTATACCTGTCTGTCCTAACCGAATAATAAACGTTGTTAGGAAATTACTATTGAACCTGCATGAATGGACGGAAATGGTTGAACGGGTGCAATTCGTCTACTTGGAGAGTGATATAAATTGATTTTATTTATGATTTCGTTCAGTTACACAAAAATGAAATTGCATAATAATGAGAGGAACACTTTTCTTCTTCCAAAATAACAGATTTGTTAACAACAGAATTGATATTTTCAAAGAAAAACAGATTCTACTTACTTTTCAATGACTCTCACTGTAGTCAAGCAAGGCCATTTTGTGATCGATTTACCCCAAATTGACTAGCCTTGATTGCAGACACCTAAAAATCTATTTTAGCTTAAAATCGATTTGATGAAACAGCTCACAAGTATTGGTTTTAAGCTAAAACTGATTCGGCCTTAAAATTGATTTTA